TAAAAGATTGCGACCACTAGAAAAATATTCAGAATACCACAGTGTTCTAGAGCCTGAAATTGATTTACGGCATTTAAAAGAAAACTATAGTGAAGTTCCTCATAAAATGGCCATACAACAAGTACTGGATACTACCTCTAGTAGCTGCACCTCCAGCCAAGAGAATGATTCCAGTGTTGCCAATCTCAACAAACCAGAAGAAATCATTGCAAATGAATTAAAGGTATAATTAGAAGGAAAAAAAATCAAAGCACAATATGACATATTCTGAATGTATACACTTCAGGCTTTTGCAAAAATTATAAGAATTGTTTATTATCTAAATATCGATAATATCAATGCAAGTGCATGATGGGTAGTCCCTCGTGATGCCCTTAGTCCCTAACCTCGTTCCCAGGGCCATCACGGACTCCACAAAATGGCCGGTCGTCCAGCGATGACCCTAGCAAACACTGATTATCACATGATCAAATAGTCCACGATACATGGACTATTTGATCACGTGGATATCTATACAAAATGGCGGCTGTTAAAGCAAAGTAACAGTGAAAAGTTGCCGTATACATTCATTTATTGATCAGTATTGGTGCTCCTTAGAGCTTGTAAAAATAGTATTTCACAAGTGTGGTATTTTTCGACCTCCGTCGTTCACAATCTATGACTTTGGTTGGGCTAATTTTGATATTTTCATCGTAAACGAGAAGTTACATCAGAAGATGTCGAGCTTGAGGCAAATTAACAAAGCTTTATATGTCTACCATAACTGCAAGAAGTCGTAAAAAGCCTACAAAAAGACAAATTAAGAAGATCTGGAAGCGGTTTGGTCTTAGTCATGGAAGAAAACCCGTCGCTACTTGTTGCTTGTGCCTTTGCAACCAGGTATGAAGATCATCATCATTTAAATGACTTGTGACATGTGGAGATATCGTAGGAAAAGAGTTATGACTTCTACCAGGTGTAAAGTAGAACGGCCTTAACTTCCTTAGATCCCCTAGCATGATARTTTCGTCTTTACTGGAGCTTCTTTTGCTGTGTTGCTTGGAATCGATGTGGATGCCAGAGCAATTATCAAATGCCTGTGCAATCAAGCTCATTCCAGCTGCAGCTCTTGAGACACCAACAATTGCTTTGTCTGTTTTGTTGGCGCCCATTTGTTTCACCATTTCCTTGGAATGATATAATAGTAGCCATTTTAACAAAGATAGCATAAATTTCAGTGTTAAAAAATCGCCAGTATTAAACCTTTCACCAAACTGATCCACTTTTAATGAATTGAAGAGAATATCTCACTTTGCGTGCTTTGTTGCAGATTTCTTGCGCTGTATCACAAGAAATGTTTTTTCCCTGACCACCATGCCAATTCACAAATCACCCCCATGTCAGCCTACAACACATTTGCTCTGACACCAAAGCTTCAGTTTGGGCAATACTGATAAACATTTCTAGAGCATATTTAGAATAATTGTTGTTTGCTTTAAAGTACATTAAAAGCTTTTTCTTATTAATGTTGTCACGGTCACCATCTCCTTCAGAGCATGTATCTATTAGCTGCATCAGGAATACTATCAGCTCAATGATGTTTAATCCATAAATCCTAGAATTGCATCAAAAACAATACAYTTTCAGATCTATATTTCAATATTGTATATTTCCTTGTAAAATTAAAATTAACTGATAAGTTTATGATTACCTGACTTTGTCTTCTTCAAGTTCTTGAGTTTTGTTGTGTTTAAGATAATCATGGTCAGCTTGAATGTTTGCAACCACTTCATTTATATCAACCTGGCAGATGAAAAGTACATTTTACATGTTTTCAATAATTATTAAAGATAAT